ATTAAGAAATAAGGAGTCTAGGATGTGTTCATCCATAAGACTCACAGTTTTGTTGGGAAAATAGTTAAAATAAATCGGACCTTGACCGAGACTGGTTTCAACTGTTCCTATGAGAGAATCATCAAATTTATTATGACGAATGTCTCTGAGACAAATTAAGACAGCAGCATCTATGCCTATGTCTATCAAAGGTTTAATTGCTACCTGAACACATCCTATGTGAAGATACTTGTACTTTCTTTTATGGTCATTGAGGGAGGATTTAGACAGGAGATGAAATTCTTCCCCTATACCTTTCCCTAAAGGGATATTATTTTCAACAGTCTTGATAATATAATCAGAACTGTTTTTCTTAGGTTGGTCTTCAGGAACATATAAAGTATCCTGAGGAATGACTGGGATGGTCCAGTCATCCATACTTTGGTTGATCTCTTCAAAACGAACAGGAAGTAGGAATATAACTGTTAATTGTCTGTAACTATGTTCTTCTGGATCTGGACTTTAAATTCCTTTATGAAATTTCTGTAACCATGGTTTATAGGCTGGACAGCTGACAGGCCCTTCGGGTGAGATCAGTAATGATCGTCCCTGTCTGTAACAACGCCACGAACTAATGGTACTGAAATATTGCTTTTGTACAGTTCTGCATATCTGAAAATCCTTTACTGGAAGTACAGCAGTTCTTCGTTCTTTTGAATAGGGCTGTAGCAGTAAGTCCCGTATGGTTGAAAGGGCAGTAAGGCTAATTTGACGATGCTGTATTCAAAAGAAACAAAAGAACATAAGAAGCTGGTGGCTATAGTAAAAGAATTTTCAGAATTTTGTAAAAAAAAAAAAAAAAAAAAAAAAAAAGTCCACAAATAACCAGATCCAGTTGAATAAGTTATAAATAATTAACAGATGTATTGTTACGGAACCAAATGAGAGTGATGAGCCAGATGTTTTTATATCATGTCTAGACTCTTACGCTCTTTCTCTCGCATTTCCTTTCGTTCTGGCTCCAGTTCCTCCTCCTCCTCTCCAACTAAAACCAATCTCTTTAATGACCAGGAGAATCATTCTCCTGAAATTATACCCAAGCACAACCTCTTCGACGAAGAAGTTCGTTTTGAAGAGATCAACCAAAGTATGGATGACTGGACCATCCCAGTCATTCCTCAGGATACTGGCTGTAGAACCTTACAAAAAGCCCTATAAGCGCAGGTACAATAGAAAACCTAGTCCTAAGAAACAAGGGGATAATGTCATCCCCACCAATATTCCCAAAAAACCCAGAACAGGCGTAACCTGTTACAATTGTGGTAAACCTGGCCATATTAGTAAGTATTGCAGGCTAAAGAAAAAGATTAGTAGCCTCAATCTAGAGCCTTCTTTAGAGGACCAAATCAATAATCTCCTGGCTAATACCTCTGATGAAGAGGAAGATTCTAATAAAGAATCTGAAGAAGAGGTCAACCAAATTTAAAATGATGACCAAGCTTCTTCTTCTGACAGTGATGAAACTCCAGAAATCAATGTTTTGACAAAAGAACAAGATCTTCTTTTTGAAGCTATAAGCTCTATTTCGGATTTTCAAGAAAGAAAAGAATTTTTAAACAAATTCAAAGAGGTTTTAGAAAATAAACCTAAACCTAAAGAATATTTTACTTAAAACAAATTCGATATTACAGATATTTTCAAAAGATTAGAAAAAAATTCTAATATTAAACCAACCACTATTCAAGATCTCCAGATTGAGATAAATAATCTCAAGAAAGAAATCAGAGAAATTAAAGATCAACAACAAATTCACCAAGTTATTCTTTCTCAGTTAGATGATGATTCTGACATTGAGAAAGTAGAACTTCCTGAGGATAATGATTCTGTAAAGGTTGACTCTGGTAATCCAGAAGAAACTTTTATGTGTTTGATCAACAAGGTCAAAATACAAAAATTTTACATTAATATCAGAATCGTTATTGATGATTTTGTTCTTGACACTTTGGCCCTTTTTGATACAGGTGCTGATTCAAATTGTATTTTAGAAGGTTTAATTCCTACAAAATATTTTGAAAAAACCTCTGAAAAACTCAGCACTGCTAGTGGTTCAAAACTGAAAATTAATTATAAGCTTTCTAAAGCTGTAATTGAAAATCAAGAACTTAAGATTGAAACAAACTTTCTTCTTGTTAAAAATTTAAAAAATGAAGTGATTCTGGGAACACCTTTCATAAAAGCTCTTTTCCCTTTGCAAATTTCGAAAGATGGTATATCCACTCGACATTTAGGGAAACAAATAACTTTCAAATTTTCTAATAAGCCCTTTACAAAAAATATTAATTTTATTCAAAACAAAGTTAATCAGATTAACTTTTTAAAAGAAGAAGTTTCTTTTGCTAATATTGAAAAACAATTAGGTAATTTTTCACTTCAAAAGAAAATCCAGTCTCTTTTAAACAAAATCCAAACTTCTATATGTTCTGACCTACCCAGCGCTTTCTGGAATAGGAAAAAACATATTGTCAGTCTCCCTTATGAATCAGGATTCAAAGATACCCAAATTCCCACTAAAGCCAGACCAATTCAGATGAATGAAGAACTCCTCCATTATTGTCAGAAAGAGATTACAGATCTCTTAGACAAAAATCTTATCAGGAAAAGCAAGAGTCCTTGGTCTTGCTCTGCTTTTTATGTTAATAAACCTGCTGAGATTGAAAGAGGTACTCCCAGACTTGTTATCAATTACAAACCCCTCAATCAAGCCCTTCAATGGATTAGGCATCTTATCCCCAATAAAAAAGATCTTCTTAACAGACTCAATTCTGCTAAGATCTTTTCAAAATTCGATATGAAATCGGGATTTTGGCAAATCCAAATTTGCGAAAATGATAGGTACAAGACTGCCTTTACTGTTCCCTTTGGGCATTACGAATGGAATGTTATGCCCTTTGGTCTAAAAAATGCTCCTTCTGAATTTCAAAAAATCATGAATGACATTTTCAATCCTTATTCAAAATTTGTCATTGTCTACATTGACGATGTTTTAATTTTTTCTCAATCCATTGATCAACATTTTAAACATATAAATGTTTTTATCAATGTTATTAAACAAAACGGTCTTGCCGTTTCAAAATCAAAAATTAGTCTCTTTCAAACCAATATCAGATTCCTTGGACATAATATCCACCAAGGTACCATTATCCCTATCAGTAGGTCCATTGAATTTGCTGATAAATTTCCTGACAGGATCCTTGATAAAACCCAATTACAGAGATTTTTGGGATGTCTCAATTACGTTGGGGATTTCATCCCCCACCTAAATAACATCATCAAGCCTTTACATGATAGGCTTAGGAAAAATCCTCCCCCTTGGACTGATGTCCATACTAATGTCGTTAAAGAAATCAAAAACAAAGTCAGGAAGATAAATTGCCTATATCTTTCCATCCCCCAAGCCTTCAAAATCGTTGAAACTGATGCCTCAGACATAGGTTATGGAGGTATTCTTAAGCAAAAAATCAAGTCTCATGAGCATATCATTGCATACACTTCAAAACATTGGAATTCTGCACAACAGAATTATTCTACTGTTAAAAAGGAAGTTTTGGCAATTGTTTTATGCATTTCAAAATTCCAATATGATTTATTAAACCAAAAATTTTTAATTAGGGTAGACTGCAAGTCTGCCAAAGAAATTTTACAAAAGGATGTTAAAAATCTTGCCTCAAAACAAATTTTTGCGAGATGGCAAGCAATTTTAAGTGTTTTTGATTTTGACATAGAATATCTCAAAGGCACTTCAAACTCCCTTCCTGATTATCTTACCCGTGAATATTTACAGGATAAGTAAGATGCCTAGAAAGGCAGTTACCCCTTCTAGGGGAGGAACCACCAGTTACAGACAATTAACAGTTATATTCCTACTTCCCCATCAGGCTCTGATACCAGATTATCTAAAGTGGATCAAGGAAACAAAAATATGTAAATTAAAAGACTGAAAGGAAAGTAGGCAGTAGCAGGACTACTAAATGATATGCAGAAATTAAAAGTGCAGTATGTAAAACAGTTAGCTCTGGAAACCTCAAAGAGAGTGGTTCTTTCAAAATTATAGGGGAAAAGACAGGTCTGCTATCCAAGAGAAATTCTATCAATTTCTCGAAAAAGTCAAACAAAATATTCCATTCTTTGATTGGTATCATGCTTATACCATTCGAAATAATATTAATTATCCCTGGCAAGAAGATGTTATTAGTACCTCCTCTGCTAATGTTATAACCTGGCAAATCAAAGATGGACAAATAGTCCAAAGTGATTTACCGCCCACATCTCAATACCAAAGTGATTTACCAATTGCTCCTGTGTTTAAATAATAGGCTCAAAATTATAACCGGTAATGTTAAAAATGAAGGTTCATTCTTTAGTTCAATTGAAAATTTACTAGAATGACATTCCTTGCATTTTTACCAATAGATGAATGGAACGAGAACAGTAGTACAATATTATATATGAGTAGTAGTGCATTATTATTAGTAGAGAAAAAAATGAAGAAGATAGAAACATAGAAAAAAGGAGATGAAAAACTCACATAAAAATTCTTTAAGCACTTAAAAAGTCACTTCAAACAATTTTCTAAAATTTGATAGGTTTGAACGTGATTATTTATAAATTTAATATTTATAAATACTACTAAAAAATCATTAAAAATCTCTTTAATGTAACAATCTTTATATTTTTTAATATTAATAAATTATTTTTAAATTATAAAAAGTCTCAAATTAATATCAATAAATTTTTTAAAAATTTTAAAAATTAAAATTAAATATCACAAAACTATTGTAAATCACAAAAAATTTCTAGTTAAATACTAACTTACTGTTTTAAAAAAAATCTTTTAAAACATTATGAAATCTTAAACCAATGCATTCCTAAATCTTTTCCCAAGTCGGGGGTCTGCTGCAACTTGAATTTAACCTGCATCTGGTTATTGGTTAAACAAAAGTCAGAGTTTCAGGTGTCAGGAGCAACCCAACTCAAAATTCCCCACTTTTTCGCATACGTTCCTCTCAATCTCAAAGACCCAGAAAGAGAAGAAACAACTCAACCAGAACGAAAAAGAGTAGAAAGAACCCAACAAATTCGCATGGTCTCTCAACTTTCAACTCTCGCGACTGGTCGTTGTTCTCACAGTTTCCCCATCCCAAAGGACACGTTGCACTTGCACATCCCTTCTTAGACCAATTATCCGCATAAACAAAACCCTTCTTTCAAGTTAACCCCAAAATCATTGCCACCCCTTTTCCCCCTCTCAGCACGTTGAAATGGTATAAAGAAACAACAAGTTCATAAAGATCTGCCATGAGAAGAATAATTCCCTTCCCTTCTTCTGCATACGAAGGAACTACTTTCCTTTAATTCTGTCAAACTGCGCGCTTTTAGATTCTAATATGAGTTGCAATGACCAAGCCTCTGGTGCTAGTCTCAACATTAGGGGCTTACTTTGCAACGCTGGTGCTGGTGCCGCTGCTGGTAATTAAATTAACCCTTTTTCTTTAATTTGGCTTCAACCCTTTTCGTATTTTGGTTTCAGCTTTATTGGGTCTCTCAATTTGGTAACTTTTGTTTCCCAGTTGCTGTTTAGGTGATATGATTGTGTGACATTCGCTATTGGTATATTAACTTGATTTCATTGTGCAGGGGCAATTGCTGCTACATTTGTGTGCCCGTTGGATGTGATCAAGACTAGGCTCCAAGTACATGGTCTTCCTCCTGCACAGAAAGGTACCCCTCTTTGTTGATTCCTTAGTATTGGGTTTTAAACTGCATTTCAAAGTCATGGTTGTGTTGCGGTCTGGTGTTGCGGTCTGGTTTTGCAATCGCGGCTTGATGAGGTGCCATTGAGATGGTCGTGAAATGGTCTGTAATTTGAGACATTGGGAATAGGTCATGGACAATAGTGAGATTGATGTTGAAATTGTGTTGAGATTGGGAAGAGGTTTTTGAGAATTGATAATTGACATATGTTTGATAGGTTGATGTATTACGTTAAGTTTTACTGAAGAAGTGCTTCTCCTTTGAGAGTTTAGTGTTTGTGACCGTGTCATCAGCATGACTTGAAGCTGGGCTTTGTATATTTTATCGTTGAAACTTGAACCTGGTTATGTTAGTTCAATTCAAAATGTATGATATATGTAATGGTATTGTTCTAGTATGAGTGAATTCTGTTGTACTTTTGGTAAGTGATTATTTGTTGAGCCTAACACCTGCTGTTCTCCTAGGTAGTGTCATTGTCACGAGCTTGCAGAATATAGTAAGGAATGAAGGCTTCAGGGGAATGTACAGGGGCCTTTCACCAACAATATTGGCATTACTTCCAAACTGGGCAGTGAGTTTCATTCCCTGTTGCCTCTCTAAAGTTTTGTATTTTGATCAATGTCTGTTGCAGCTAAAGTTGCAAGGGTCTGTGAAGCGGGGAATACCTTCTCTTTCTGTCTTGTTTCAACATTATTTGTCTTCCATCTTCTCATTTCATACACACAAAACTATTGATAAACATAGATGAGACTTAATTGATTAGCCCAAAATCTGGTGTTACATGGGTCATATGTTTTGTATATCTGACAATAATCTTCATATCAATTCTTATTTGTCATGCAATCCTCTCTAGTTCCAGTCTTCATTGACCTTCATAATTATCGTTCATCACCACTAGTTGCAAAATCCTTGATCTCCTTAACACATGTTTTCATTTTCTTCATTTGCTTCATTTTATAATACAATCCAATGTTGTCAAGATCGGGATCTTACCTAGGACCGGGAGGGATGGTAAAAAATCGTAAATCAAGTTTCTTATATTAGAATGTGGATAATCTTTCTTTTATTGTTTAATTTTACATTTGTAATATTTTCTTTTGATAGTTCATATCTTTTCAAATAACAGAAAGCCTATTACAATTGTAGGTTTACTTCACAAGTTATGAGCAACTAAAGGGCCTGCTTCGTTCACGTGGTAAATATTATCTCAATGCTGAGTACTTTTTACACACATCTGTTCTTCTCTTAAGTTGTCTGAAGTATTACACCATATTCTGTTCAAACTTTTTTTTTAATTTTTACCAATTTTGGTTTCTTTAGATCCTGAATTAAAAATTTTACCTATATTTTTTGACATTCTTTATTGATAATACTGTAGCAGATGGTTGCAATGAACTCACAACTCTTGGCAATATTATAGCTGCTGCTGGGGCTGGGGCAGCAACAGCAATTTCTACAAATCCACTGTGGGTTGTTAAGACAAGACTCCAAGTAAGATGGTGCTTCTCACGTCTGTAATCTTGGACAAGACTACAATCTTCTCTTTTATTGCTCTTGTTCTCTGCCCTTTCACTGTAGATATTTCTCAATCTTCCATACATGCATATGGATCTGCCATCTTATTTGTTTCAGTGTAATTTTGATTATTTTTAAGTATTCCAACTAATTGGTTAGATTGAAAAGATTCTGATTATTATAATTTAATTTACATCTCTGATGAGAATAGGTTTAGAATACATCTATAATGTATCCCTTGGTTATGCCTCGTTCTGTTCTGAAGAAGTTTATTATTAAAATACTAGCTATTCATTTAATCTAATCATGTATACCGATACTGATAAATGTTTTTGTTTTTTTAAAATTGGACATTAATTAATTTTTTCTTGATACCTATTAGACACAAGGAATGAGGCCTGATGTTGTTCCTTACAAGAGCGTTTTTTCTGCTTTGACAAGGATTACACATGAGGAAGGCATACGAGGCCTATATAGGTCAGTTTCTGTGTTCCAATTTTAGTGTTGATGATTTGGGCTGATACTTTATGGAATTTCCAAGGGTTGATATATATTATATGTCACTTTTTATGTATATATGTAGTTGTTTTTATTTTCATGATGTCTTTCCCAATGATTAATGGCCAACTGATAACCTGTTATTGTACAACAAATGAGGAAAACATTAAAATAGGAGAAATGGAGTTTCTTTTATCCCTTTATTGTGGCAGACACTCTAAATTTATTATTAACTTCCGCATTTTAGATTGAGGAAAATGTATTCTCTATTATAATATGCTATAAAGCCTATCAATTTGGGTACATAACTTCACCAAATAATATCTTTATTCAGGAAAAATGACCATTAGTTCTGTTTAGCATTTTTGTGTATTTTCTTTTGAAAGGGAGAAAACCTATTTCCTATTTTGATAAACTATTCACTTAACAAAGATTGTAAATCATAGAAAGAACTGCATTTGGCAAACTGCAAGCTAAGATATATGAATAATGTATCAATCAGTTAAAGTGAGATGAATCATGAAAAAATAATCAGCCTTGCGTAAAATGTTGATGACAAAATAATTCCAGTACCTATATTGATTAAGATTACCCTAAGCCTCTTGAATTTCGGATCTAATTAGGAGTAGGACGTAACTCATGCTATAGAACTCGGATTGGAGTGTTTCCAAAACGAGAAGAAAAGTCACGTTGTGAATCACAATTTTGACTCAAAAATCACTAAAAATGAATTTGTCGATCATGAGATATGAGCAAAAGATATTTCCGACACGAATTGGAGTTTATTTAGCATAAAAGACTATGAACTCTAAAATTCAGAATTGGAAAAAACAAAATTGTTACCTTAGGAATAGAATAAGGGGAAGGTAATATGATAGGAATGGTGCAAGAAATAAGGATGCTTAATAAGTCAACAAGATCGCCACTATAATGGGTGAGTTCTTGATAAGATCAATGGTTGCAAGATCCCTAGCAAAGAAAATACTCACTATACTTTGATTCCAATAATGTATATCCTCAAATGATCTCCAAGTGTTTTAATACAACTTAGTTTAGGAGTTTGTCCACTTGGACTTGAAAAATTGAAAATTAAAAAACTAATTCCTTTAGCACAAGAATGATATATATGTTTCACTGGTTAAGTAGGCATATTTAACTTCAAGTATCTGAGTTCTAGTCCTATTGTAGACAATAATATATATTTGTATATTTTTATACATGGTCTCAAAATAAATAAAAAGTCTTGTAAATTTAGATTAAAGCTTTGAGATCTTCTCCTCTCATTCCAAGTGGGCTATGCATGTGTACATTTTAGAATTAGAATTCAAGTGTCGGGCTTCATTTGGGTCAATGGCTTTACATTAGGGTTGGGCTTCTAGCAAAGAGCTCAACATGTGTTTTAGAGTTTCTTGCATTTTCCTTGATCTAGCTCTTGTCTTGGCTTTGGGCTTCCAGCAAAGAGCTCAATATGTATTTTAGAGTTTCTTGTGTTTTCCTTGATGTAGCTCTTGTCTTGGGCTCTCTTAAGCCTTGTAATGGATCTTGGACATCTTATGGTGCTTGGGCCTGGACTTTGGTCTTAATGTCCACATCGTATATACTTTTGATGAAAAATAAAGATGTCAGTCACTCGATCATGTTCATATTCTTGTTTGAATTTTCCAAGTTTTGGTATGCAAAATCTATATAATAATGTTACAAATTGAACAGTTGGATCATTGAGAATTGTGTCTTATAGAAGTTCTTGAGTGAACTAAGAGTATCAAATCATACTTAGTTATAATCTGATCCTGACCCATGTTTATCTCCCTGATGCCAAGTCTAGAAAGGTTAAACAAACAGCCTTCACTTGATAACTGCTGCACAGAATCAAATTAGCTTTTGAAGGGAAAAAAATAATAGTGTGAACTGAAAGAATGATAGCCTGAGTTTGTTTTTGTGTATTTTGTTCATGTGAAACAGTGGCATTGTGCCTTCATTGGCTGGCGTAAGTCATGTTGCTATTCAATTTCCTGCATATGAAAAGATAAAGTCATACATGGCAGAGAAAGGTACAACTGCTAACAATAAATTATGTATTTACTCAGCAGTTGTTGAAATAAGTGAACTTTTTTTTTCTCTGTTTTCGTACATGTTACTCATCAAATTTCCAATATTTCAGATAACACAACCGTTGACAAGCTAAGCCCTGGGAATGTTGCCATCGCATCATCAATTTCAAAAATAATTGCATCGGTAATGACTTATCCGCATGAGGTATGTATGACCTCCTTCTGGCCAAATTGCTAGAAGATAATTTCAGGATCCTGTTGTGTACCAACTTTGTTTTTCCCATGTATATGTAACTACTAGAATTTCACACTTTCAGGTAATACGTTCCAGGCTGCAAGAGCAAGGCCAGGCCAAAAATATTGGGGTTCAATATGCAGGGGTTGTTGATTGTACTAAGAAGGTGTTTCAAAAGGAAGGCATTCCAGGGTTTTATCGTGGTTGCGCAACCAATCTGTTAAGAACAACACCATCTGCTGTTATTACATTCACCAGTTATGAGATGATACACAGGTTTTTGGAGCGAGCTATACCTCAGGACAAGGGGTATCCTCAAGGCCCTAAATCGAATGAATTTAAGCCCCGGCCAGAAGCCAGTGAAATTGATGTGAAAAATGGCACTGGTAAGGGGCATCCACCGTCTCAGTCTAACATGAAATCTTCATCAATTCCTCTCGGAAACAAAGAGCAGCTAACAAGACATTGATAGGCAATAATTGTGTTCTTTTTTACTGTCTTTCTAACATTTAATTTATAACTTGGCTCTGATTTTTTCGTTTTTATTTTTAGTCCGGCATGCCAATGCTAATTTTTACCAGAATTGTGCATTATATTGGCAAAAAAATAAAGGTCCCTGTACTTATAATAAAATTGAGTAAAATATAGGAGGAATTGAAGGATTTCCATGATTGGCCTTGAACCTGATCTTGCTTGTGTTTATGGTTTGTGTTACAATTCAGTCTCATCAAATATTTTGATTTTGGTCATCACACTTCCTCCTCACTTCAATTAAACAACTTGAGTGGCTCTGAATTAAAACTGTAGCCCATATACGTTTGCACATTAAGTGAGCTCCCCTTTTTAACTCTTGGGGACCATACTTTATCTGTTTGTACAGGTTCCAATTCCCAAGACTTGAGACGAAATACTTAAAAGGGAGTGGAGACTCTCTCATTTTTAAGGCTAGGCTTAGTGTTATCAACACAAGCAATAATCAAACTTACACCTTTCAAATAACACAATCATTACTACACTTGATTCAATTCCTATTGGTATATTTGTAGTTTATATTAAAGGGTTCTATAATGTGATTTTATCAAAGTTTGAAGGTGCGAAATCAAGATGAACGCAAATTATATTCTCTATTAGGAAAGCGGGGTGGGGGGGGGGGGGTTCGTAAACGCTTAGATACTGGAGTCATAAAAATAGCTGTGACGGCAAGTTACTAGGATTATTGTCTGAGAGAATTCTAATGCAAAAAAAAAAAAAAAAAAAAATCCCAATAAAATTGTATTTGTGGCAGTTAGTTGTGGATTATCATATACAAGGAGATAAGTGGTTGGTGGGAACGGAACAAACATTAAGAGCAAAACTGAAATATAGAGAAAGGTAGCCCATTAGTAGTCTGACTAAAGGATTTGAAAGGGGCCATGAGTCCATGACACTTTATCTCCCAAACTCTACAATTATGGAGCTGAAAATGATAAAAGGGAGGTTGGGCTATACGGGGAGAAGTAACATCTGCAAATAGGAAAAGATGTCAAAAAATGATGAGGATGGGATAGTTAGCAAGGGTGACGTGCTATTTGGAGAGCAAGACAATGTAGACTATATAAGGATTAAAGGATGAGATGAAGAGATATTTTTCCTTTTTCATGTTTTGGCACTTTGAAAGTTGGATAACTTTCCCAAGAGAGTAAGAAAGAAGAATGAAGGATTTTTTTGTCAAAAGACCTTCTTACAAATGTGTTCTCTAAATTCACAGACTTAGAGTGCGATATAGAGATGAATAATAAAATTTCATAATTTATGAATACTACAAAACACACTAAGTGTATTTGAATGAGTGTTCCTTGTTATGCTTAAGCGAAGGAATGACACTTAAACAACTTTGAGAGTGCTTTACCAAACAAAAATTTATGGGCGATATTTGGCTTGAAGGACTTTCATATGCACTTTATTCTAATAGCGACATTCTATACCTTGAAAAGAAGGGTAGCGGTTGCTCTTGGATGTAGCTTACATCTTGAGGCATTAAACAATCTCTTACAAGAATGAGACATGTTGAGAGATGAGAGTAAACTCATTTTCTCTAAAAGAACATGTTACACTCACCTTGTTCACTCCTACAAGTCGAGTGTCCATGAGTTTCTATTCATTCTTGTGTACTTTATAAGTTTACAAACCTAACTTCTTGTAACATTTTTTATACATAAAAGTGGTGAAAGAGTTTTACTTCTTTGAACTGATTCAATTGGAAATTTCTTTTTTCTTTGACAATGGCTAGTTTGATATATCTAAGATCAATACTTATTACAGTGTAGATTTTATTGGGGACAAGGGGAGCCAATGCCACCCCCAAAATCATTGAAATGAAAGATATGGCCTTTGTAGAAAGATATTGGAGTCCGGTTTTGTAGAAAATGGATCTCCGACCTGAAAGATATGGCCTTCCCAGTTTGTTCCGACCAGCTGCACCCCTTCAGATTCTGAGCGTTTTCGGGCAACATTTACTGTTTCGATGATATCTCGAGTTACAGGCCAAGTTTCGAGACAATTATTTTTTTGTTGCAAAGCTCTTTTCTGGGACTTCACTATGGACTCTGGTTTTACAGAAAACAGAGCTCGCAGATGAAAGCTATGGCCTTCGCAACTTGTTTCATACAGTTGCACTTTTAGCCCGTTTTACTGTTCTGGCAATATCTTGAGCTGCGAGACAAGTTTTGAGCCGGTTCCTGATTCATTTCAAAAATCTTGTCAGGGGTTTCACTCAGGAGTCTGGTTTTGCAGAAAACGGATCCCGGACCTGATAGATATGGCCTTCGCATTTTTTTTCGACTCGCTGCACCCCTCTAGATTCTGAGTGTTTCTGGGCAACATTTACGGTTTCGACAATATCTCAAGCTACGGGCCGAGTTTTGAGATGATTCTTTTTTTGTTTCGAACCTCCTTTCTGGGGCTTCACTATGGACTCCAGTTTTACATAAAATGGAGCTCGCAGAAGAAAGCTATGACCATCGCAACTTGTTTCCCACGGCTGCACTTTCAGCCCCGTTTTACTGTTTTGGCGATATCTTGTGCTGCAGGATGAGTTTTGAGTCGGTTCTTGATTCATTTCGAAGATCTTGTCAAGGGCTTCACGCTGGACACTGATTTTGCGGAAAATGAATCATGAACCTTAAAGATAAGGCCTTCGCAGTTTGTTCTGACCTGCTGCACCCCACCATATTCTGAGCGTTTCCGGGCAACGTTTACTGTTTCAACGATAGCTCGAGCTATAGGCCAAGTTTCAAGACGATTCTTTTTTTGTTGCGAAGCTCTTTTTTGGGGCTTACTTGTGGACTCCGGTTTTGCAGAAAATGGAGCTCGCAGATGAAAGCTATGGCCTTTGCAACTTTTTTCACACAGCTCCACTTTCAGTCTCGATTTACTGTTTCAGCGTTATCTTGAGCTGCGGAACGAGTTTTAAGCCGGTTCCTGATTCATTTCGAAGATCTTGTCATGGGCTTCACTCTGGAGTCTGGTTTTGCGGAAAATGGATCCCGGAGCTGAAAGAAATGGCCTTCGCAGTTTGTTCTAACCGGCTGCACCCCCAGGTTCTGATCGTTTCCGGGAAACGTTTACTGTTTCGACGATAGCTCAAGCTACGGGCCGAGTTTCGAGACGATTCTTATATTGTTCGAAGCTCTTTTCTGGGGCTTCACAATGGACTCCGGTTTTGCAAAAAACGGAGCTCGCAGATGAAAGTTATGTCCTTCGCAACTTGTTGCACACGGCTGCACTTTCAGCCCTGTTTTACTGTTTCGGCGATATCATGAGCTACGGGACGATTTTAGAGCCGGTTCCTGATTCATTTCGAAGATCTCGTTAGGGGCTTCACTATGGAGTCTGGTTTTGCGGAAAACGGATCTCGGAGCTGAAAGATATGGCCTTCACAGTTTTTTCCGACCGTCTGCACCCCTCCAGGTTCTGAGCGTTTCCGGGCAACATTTACTGTTTCGACGAAAGCTCGAGCTATGGGCCGAGTTTCGAGACAATTTTTTTTTGTTGCAAAGCTCTTTTCTGGGGCTTACTTGTGGACTCTGGTTTTGCAGAAGACGGAGCTCGCAGATGAAAGCTATGGCCTTCGCAACTTTTTTCACATGGCTCCACTTTCAGTCTCGATTTACTGTTTCAGCGTTATCTCGAGCTGCATAATGAGTTTTAAGCCGGTTCCTGATTCATTGCGAAGATCTCATTAGGGGCTTCACTCTGAAGTGTGGTTTTGCAGAAAATGAATCTCGGAGATGAAAGATATGGCTTTCGCAGTTTGTTCTGACCGGCTGCACCCCTCCAGGTTCTGAGCATTTCCAGGCAACGTTTACTGTTTCGACGATAGCTCGAGCTACGGGCCGAGTTTCGAGACGATTCTTTTTTTGTTGCAAAGCTTTTTTTTGGGGATTCACTCAGGACTTCAGTTTTTCCAAAAACGGAGCTCGTAGATGAAAGCTATGGCCTTCGCAACTAGTTTCACACCGCTCCACTTTCAACCCTGTTTTACTAATTCAGCGATATCTCGAGCTGCGGTATGAGTTTTGAGTTGGTTCCTGATTCATTTCGAAGATCTCGTCAGGGGCTTCACGCTGGACATTGGTTAAGCGAAAAATGAATCCTAGACCTTAAAGATATGGCCTTCCCAGTTTGTTTTGACCGATTGCACACCACCAGATTTTGAGCATTTTTGGGCAACGTTTACTGTTTCGACGATATCTCGAGGTTTAGGCCGAGTTTCGAGACGATTCTTATACTGTTTGAAGCTCTTTTCTGGGGCTTCACAATGGACTCCGGTTTTGCAGAAAATGGAGCTTGCAAATGAAAGCTATGGCCTTCACAACTTGTTTCACACGGCTGCACTTTCAGCCCCGTTTTACTGTTTCAGCGATATCATGAGCTGCGAGACGAGTTTTGAGCTGGTTTTTGATTCATTTTGAAGATCTCGTTAGAGGCTTCACTCTAGAGTCTGGTTTTACAGAAAACGGATCCTGGAGCTAAAAGATATGGCCTTCATAGTTTGTTCTGATCGTCTGCACCCCTCCATGTTCTGAGCGTTTCCGGGCAACGTTTAATGTTTCGATGACAGCTCGAGCTACGGGTCGAGTTTCGAGATGATTCTTATATTGTTTGAAGCTCTTTTCTGGGGCTTCACAATGGACTCCAGTTTTGCTGAAAATGGAGCTCACAGATGAAAGCTATGGCATTTGCAACTTGTTTCACACGGCTGCACTTTAAGCCCATTTTACTGTTTCGGCAATATCATGAGCTGCGGGACGAGTTTTGAGTCGGTTCCTGATTCATTTCGAAGATGTCGTTAGGGGCTTTACTCTGGTGTCTGATTTTGGGGAAACAGAACCCGCAGCTGAAAGATATGGCCTTCGCAGTTTGTTCCGACTCTCTGCACCCCTGCAGGTTTTGAGCGTTTCCGAGCAATGTTTACTATTGCGACAATACCTCAAGCTATGGGCCGAGTTTCAAGACGATTCTTTTTTTGTTGCGAAGCTCTTTTCTGGAGCTTCAGAAAATGGAGCTCGCAGATAAAAGCTATGGCCTTCGCAACTTGTTTCACATTGCTGCTCTTTCAGCCCCGTTTTACTGATTCAGCGATATCATGAGCTGCGGAACAAGTTTTGAGCCGGTTCCTGATTCATTTTGAAGATCTCATCAGGG